TGCGTGATTCAGTAATGCTACTACATGCCACACATAAACAAGGAAAATACGAAAATTATTACTGATACATAATAAAACAGTTGGGAGTGCGAAAGCTGTTTCTGCTGTTATCTCTTGTATATAATTTATGAATTTGTGTAAGATTTTCCAGATAGTTTTACATCATTTATTTCGCGTTAGTCATTCCGTTTATGGGTGCTTGCGAAACTTGGCAGGTGACACTGATGTTAATTTAATAGCTGTTTGCCGAAGCGCTAAAGATTTCATATTGGATATTGATTGGACAGAAATTTTGAATGCGGTTAACTTACTTTTAGATCGTCCAATTCAAATGTGTTCCAACATAGTATTCTATAATAATCTATCGAAAGAAAATATTATCATGATCGTTTCACTTCCGGTTTTACCGGATGTGGATAGCAACTTTCTTATTTTAAATAGAACCCCCTATAGGGTCCAGAACAAGAGAGGGATAATAAATCAAAGGTTTTCAAGTTATTCAAGATTTTTCAAAATTTTTGAAGTTTGACTGCTTTTCTTTAGCGCCCTGTACTTATGGCTCCGTTGACTTGAATTTCAAAAAGTCTTCCAAAATCAACAATACCTACGTGATACTACATGCGAATGATTTAAATTTTGATCGCTCTTCTACAGAGTGTTTTAAAATTAATGGTGAAGTTTAATAACTTCAAACTTAAAACGTTGATTTTTTCAAATCCTTTATTTTTTGCACTTTCAAATGTCGAAAAAAATTCTACATCATCGATCAATTATAACATTCTCTATACCTATCTGTTATGCTTTTCGTTTTATTTAAGATTTTCTAAAATTGAGACCGTTATATGCATCATTTTCTTAGGAGGCCTTGAAATAAACGCGATAGCAAATCTGTCAGAGAAATCTTTTTACGGTTGCCTAATGCCTATAATTGTTTTCGTTAATAATGGTTATCACTAAGTATGTAGAAATCGTATTTACTTTAATGAATAGAAAGTAAAGATGAAATCAACAAGATACGAAGAATCAGATATGATTTTCAGTAGGGGAATTTTTTACCACTCAGCTCGCATTCGGCTACCAGACTTTTAATCCGGCTCATATTCAATAGCACTGACCCTTGAACTCTTCGAAATCGATTGGCGAAAGTTGGACATCTTTTCTCGATCTCGAGTTAGGCGAGGAACAGATGGACAGACAGACGAACAAAACCATCACATAAGGGGAATTTTTTTTCATTCGAAAAATTCCCCTAAAAACAGAAACAGGTTACGATAACAAACAACAAAATAAAAAACAAATATAAATTGAGGTTTTGTTCTACTTTCTACGTGGCCACCGTTTTTTCTTTTTCAATTCATAAAGGCTGTGGAGAACGTGGCAACACGGCCAGGCAGTCGCAATGGGTCTATGGTCGCTGAATAAAGGCCGATGTTAAAATAAATGCAAACTTATTTAATTGACCGATTAATCATACTAAATTACAGAAGCTAAAACCACAACACAAAGGCATCCTCTGATTAACTCCGTCGTAGTCGCATCTCGAATTCCTATTCCTGGCGCTCCGTCAAGTTTAAAGCAGTAGTTCTCCCCAGGTAATGTTTCCAAGGATGATACAATGACATCTACTAACGCGATGTAGAATTTTTTTCGACATTTGAAAGTGCAAAAAAATAAAACAGATTTCATTTGCAAAAATCCCCCACGAATTATTTTCTGAGATACTGTTTTTGAAAGTAAAGCGTGCAATAAGCATAACTTTTACATGCGACAAACCAATTGGTCTCAGATTTTGCATACGCATAGTGGCGTCCAGTAAAACTTTCGAAAATGGGGTGGGAGTGGGGGAGAAGTTGATTTTATCTTTCATGGTATGGTCTCAGTAAAAGGAACCGTTTTCTACAAACTACGCCCATTTTTTGTTACCCCTTATCAAAATAGGTGGTGGGGAGCGGAACTAACCAGCCAGTCCCTGAGGTAGATTTTGTCAATTACACGTAACCCGTATCTCGAGCACTTTTACGTACGTACAAAAGTTCCTAACCCCGAGTTGAAAGGAGCACCTCCCCCTACCACCTTTTTGTAGTGCAACGTCGTCTCCGTGGCGAAGTGAATTCCCCCTGCTGGCGTAATTCAGGAGTGGGTCTACTTACTGAACCTCTTTGATGATTGCCTGTCTTGTTTACTAATAACGCCACGTGCAAGATAACAAATGCAGATGTTTGGAGTACGAAAAATGGGAATTAAACTGTTTTTGCCAAATAAAGAAGTCATCAAATAAGTTACTGAACTACCTAAAGTTACGTGTTAAACAAAATGTGAGTTTTAAAAGCTGGCAACGCTGTGTAAAGTGTTTGCTTCGTAATAGATCGCGTTTGGACCAGATAGCTTGGATATTTAACTGAATCGTGAGTAGTTATTTTTTTCTGTTGATCTCTTGAATTGTTTCTTTTTATTTGTCCGTTTTGCAAACGAGGTGTACTACTGTTAAAAAAAGGCATTCTTAGGTCTGCCTATACCTAATCCTAATCACTTTATTAATTTATTAAATTAACAAAATTCGTTGGCATCTCAGTTTCTACTACTCTCTTTTAAACAAGCTGTAAATCAGCATATGCATGAGTATCAGTATCAGCATCAGTATTTTATTAGCGAAGTTTAAAATTATCGATCTCACGAGTAATTTTGGCTGCGTTAAATAATTAATTTTATTTAATTTCAATTGATGGTACGTCTTCATTTTGTAAAACAAATCACAAAGTAAATAATAAGTTTTTATTCTGGTAGCGCTATCTAACGGTAAAATTATAGCACCTCCGAAACCCATATCGAAATTATTTTCTTCAATTATCGATTTCACAAGTAATCTAACTCAAAATAGACTACTGCCTGCACATCTACACTATAGCACAAAACTTTTAGTGAAAATTTGAAGTCTCTAGCTATAATTGTAGTTGTGGAGATCTAACGCGGACAGCCGGCCTGCCAGCAATAACGAATATAATAGCGTATTTTTTTCAAAAATGCGCTAAAAATAGAACGAACAGTTTATTAAGCGGCAGGGCAAAGCGATGCAAGCTTTATAGGGGAGTCGATGGTGTCCGTCTGTCCGTGAACACGATAACTATCAAACGCTTGGACCGATTTGGTTCAAACTTTGCAGTTGACAGCTATAATATGCCACAAGCGAGACCACAAGTATCAAGCCTATCGAAAATGGATCAAATCCAATGACCCCTTGGGGTCACGCCTCTCTGTCTCTGCCAAACTCTTGAACCTATTTAGTTCAAACTTTGCACAGTTGGCCTATATGCCACATGTAGTAAGCCTATTGAAAATTGGTAAAATCCAATGACTCCGTGGGGTCACGCTTCTCTGCCCCTGCCAAACGCTTGAACCTATTCGGTTGAAACTTTGCACAGTTAACATATATACCACATGTAACAAGCCAATTGAAAATGGGTCAAATCGAATGACTCCGTAGGGTCACACCGAGGTGCTCTTTTTAGGTCAAAGTTAAAATGACACAATCAACATTTGCAAATATTCACTCGCTTAAAAGATACCAGGGAAAAAAATTAATTTCAAAATGACCCTTAGTTAAACAAGATACACAAAAATGTTTACTACAAAAGTTTCTTTAAAATGGTTGTTGAATAATCTGCCCCTTGCAAAAGAAGTTTACGGGGGTAGATAAAAAAGTTATCAGACTTGCCCCCCTTTAATGTATATTGTAATCTAATATTAATTCTCTTTCCAAAAATTAACACATCAAGGATTCAAAATACATTTAAAGAATTAAAAAAATCAAAGAAATATTCCAAATGAAATTTTAAATAATTTAAAAAAGGTTCAAATGATTCACAAAAAGTTTCTTTAAATTTTTTTAAAACCTTCCTTTGAGTCAATATTCGATTGTTTTTTAAAAGAGAATTCAATATGCTATCTCTTTAGATTAAAATACAGGGTATTCTATTTAAATTATTGAGGATAGTCCCGATAATTTTTTACCTGATCCCGTGTACTTATTTTGAAAACGGCAGATTCACTTTTCTGTGTATCGGTTCACAAAGACAATATAGAACCATTTCAAATTTTAATTTGGCCATTTTAGTGGAATCCAAAAACATTACTTTTTTATAGCACTAACAATCACGGAGATTGTCGGATTGCAACACCCGCACTCCGGTACGTCATCTTGATCTAGATATTTACGAGGAAAATTATGAAAAATGTTCCCAAAATAGGAACAAAATAAATGAAAAATGAACCTTCTAGCATGCTGGATCCCACCTGTTCGGTTTTTGCACTTCGCGTTACTAAAACGAAACAAAACAATTTCAATTACGAACAATGAAATAAATAAAATGACAGGAAAACTGAAATTTCTTATTAAGCAATTTAATGCAATTGCCCCCAAGGCTTCTAATATTAGCACATAACGTCTATACTTTAGCATAACGTCCCCTAACTTCCTCTCTCGAAGACATAAAATAAAGGAAACAAAGCCAGTTTCTATTAAGTGTACAATCTCTAGTTCTCGAGCTCTTCCAAATTAAGAAAATTTCCATGTAATTAAGCAGAGACGATCAAATCGATTTTCGCTTTCTCAATGTACACTTACCTACGCACTAATTGAAAAACTTGATCACAGGAGATCGTTGAAAAACGCTTGAAAGAAGGAAATTAAAAAGCTTGACATTTCGATATTTTAAAATAGCTTCTGCCAATACCAATCAACTTCGTCTGGGCAGGTAAAAATTCTGTCGTTCGTGGAGGTAAAAATGTTAATTCCGTTTTTAGCAGTCTACATAGGTACTTCCATAAGTGGAAGAATACAGACGGTGCACCGCAGGTATATGTTTTGGGACATATCTTGTTTCGATGAGGCATATAAGTAAAATGAGTGATCAATAATTTGAAAGGACGGCCGCAATTAATAATGGACGAGATATTTGCACATTCTTACCCGATGGCATTTTTTTTATTTGCAAAAAGGATACATAAATCCGGTCCAAGTCGTATCGTGCTTTCAAATTGCTGTTGACCGTTTCTTCATTCAATTCCGTAAGGCGCGTCATGTCCGGAACTCCTCCATCCGGTATACAGACTGCAACAAAAATACAAAAAGTGATTAATTGAATAAATAGCTTACATTATCGTAATTGCCGACTAATTAATGTATGAAGTGGATGGGCTTAATTTAAGAACAGCATAAGTCGAGCTGACAGCAATTTATAAAAAGCAGATGGGCACGTGTTGGATTTAAAATAAATTTATCTGGTTTAAAATGCAGGACAGCTGTGATGCTTCGCCTTGCACCTTTTTCCATGAATAAATAATGCCCGTGTAAGTGTGCTAACCCACATTTCTCAAAAGCTCACAGTCGTTAATCTCTTGAGAGGTTAATTCTTAAGAGCAACACGCAATAGAGATATACAGGGTGTATGCAATACCGGAGATTAAGTGGAAAATTTTTTCCTCGAAAGTCTCCATTCGCTTAGTATAATGGCCCCAAATAGATTTTCTGAAATAAAAAGATTTTCAATACAATTTAATGGATCGTCTTAGTTGAAAGACTTTTTAAACACGCGGTTAAATCCCTAAATACTTTAACGTAAGCACTAAAAAAGCTTAATTTCGTCGAGTGACATTTTACTTTTATTACCCCAACGAAATACACACGAGACCAAATTTAAATTACACGATACAAATAGACTGTATTGGAAGTAGGTATCTGAAATAATCCTCGACTGCATTAGTTCGGAAATAAGGTAGAAAAAATGGGTTAAGGTTACCAATTTGTGTGACAAGTAATATTTCTGAAAGTAGGAAATGAATGCAAAACCTCAACTTCCATTCGTAAAAGCCAACGTTTCCGGTAAGGTTATCAAATCAGAGCTTAATTTCCCTACCTGATCTTTATATATCTTCAACGATTCACCCGCAAATGTAATGTGAGTGTGGTATTTTCATAGGTAATAAGTACTTACTTAAATTGGATGGGGTCCAAGTGGTAACAATGCAAAAGGGTTAAAACATCTTGTAAATAAATGTCTGCTTGCGCATTCGAAGAGGTATACTTCTTGGATATCAATTAATTAAAAATCAGTATGGCACGCCGGATATGCATGATGACATGCGAATGATAGTTTTCAATTACTTCGTGAATATTTTATTGTCTCACCACATTACCAGAAAGGGCACTTTATTTCATTAGTTCTATATGCAGACAAACCTCCACTTTGGTGAGAAAATAGAAATGTGTACACCACCATTACACTGTCTTCTTACAATTGAGAAATACAGAGTGTCCCACGAAGAATGACCTATATTTCGAAAAGAAGACCTCTGATTATTTTGAAAATGTGACAATATACTAAGGTCGGTATGAGGAATGCATCGAAATATTTTCAAGTTACCGGACTTGTGTAGTTTAATTGGAACATCCTATATATCATTCACTTTTAGATTCTACCTCGGATTCTACGGACAACAGGGTTTCCCAAAAGTCGGAGCGACTGAAGACAAAAAAACGAAAATTTCGAAATCAACAAATGGTCATAAAAACTACATTTAAACAAAACAGTTTAAAACTTTCATACACTGGGGGCGATAACCCCAATATTTTTAAAATCCAATTTCTGTCACTTGTTCCCTGAATGAGATTTCCCACCTCCGGATCTGTTGCTTAGAAAATTCGTCTCAGAACGGTTGGGGATGCAATTTCTTCAACCCAGGGCAAAGCATCTGCGACTATTATGTTCGCTGTTCCCAACATATACTTACACTATACTTGTGGCAAATTGTGCAATAAGTATAGTTGAGGAGCTTGCCTTGGCGATGCTCTATCCGACTTTTGTTGCAGGGCGTACGACAGAGGTTTGTGATCGGTTCATAACTGTTAGCTCCCGTTCTTCTACCAAATGTCGGAAAAATTTCACTGATTCGTAGATAGCCAATAGCTCCCGATTGTAGGTGTTGTATTTTGCTGCGTACGACTCAACTTCGGACTCAACTCTTTGGAGAAAAATCCTATGGGCTCCCACGAATCACTGGTTCATTGCTCTAAGGCAGATCCGATTGCTACATCTGAAGCGTCTGTAGTCAGTCGTAAGTGGGCGTTTTCCGAAGAGTGCGCTAAAAGAGTGCCATTCTCCAAGTTAGATTTGCACTTCGTGAAAGCTGCATCTGCCTCTGGTGTCCAAAGTATTGGGGTTTTGTCATTCTTCCTAGAGTTCATTCGAAAAGCAGAAAGAGGAAGTGTCTATATTAAAATTTAATTTTTTCATTCGCAAAGTTGAGAACATTGGATTTGCTGAACACTCACAACAAGAAATGAAAAAAAAGTTTTCGCCTTTCCATGAATTGATCAGGACTTCCCGAAGCGTCATGTAATGAACTATTTATGTGTACAAAGGAAAATAAGTTATGGCATAAACGAGGGCATAAATAAGAAACTTAGCAAGACTTAAAATATGCGATATGTTTGCCTTTACCAGAAGCATCTCTGGGGTTAAAATTTCAAAAAAATATATCTCCATCAATAAAAAAGATGACATTGAGCAGTTTGCGCATGCGCACATTAATCGTCATTATTTTTCTTGGTACCGAATGCACACCAGAATGAACTAAATATCTTGAAAACTGCAGGAGGAGTAGTTAAAGCCATAATAGTGCCTTCCAACATTAGTTGGAAAATGCGCTAAAATCTCATATGAATCAAAAGCCGTTCCGGTTCGTCATAATAATAATAATAACTTCTTGAATAACTTTTATTATGCTAAAGTAACAGAAAAAGTTACATACAATTGTCAAAACAGAACATCCTGTAGGTATCGTATGCCCATTTCAACAAAATTCAATGAAATTTGAGCAAAAAATTCATTTATTCACTACCTGGCGTAATAAATTACATTTGCAAGACAGCTATATCCTCGGCCATATCAATTGTTTAGATCAGTGATATGAATATTCAACACTATAGAGATCCTAAAAACTCACTTAGTTTCTAGGACTCCCCTAATCTTCCTTCATTTGTGTGTTATCCTCGACGCCACAGGGCACACTTACACACTACATTCGGGTGAACAACAAGTGCCAGAGGGCTTAGCATTAAATGCACTAGACCTAGACCAAACCTCTGGCGATTTCTCGCTCTGTATAAAAAAGCACAAAACTTGCAAAGCGCAAAATGATCCGCGAAACTAAGTATTTTGACAGATACCTCGACAATACCGCAGAGTGAAGTTGTCTGTACCCTCAGCTGTAGCCATCTGCCTTTTGTGATTTCTCGCTCTGTATGATAGCACAAAATTTATATTACTCGGCAATAAATGGTACTTATTGAGAAAAACGAGTTACCTTACGGTGTTTGCTAATATAATAAGGTAACTATAATTAACTAAACCTATAAATAAGGTAACTAGATTTTATCAATCAATCTAATATATAAATAATGGAAAACTTCATCAAAATGGCACTTATTTGCTATTTGCTATATTCAGTGGCGTAGTATTGTCAAATGGCGCCTAGGGCAAGCATTAAAATTGGGCCCTTTCGTAAATTACCTTAATATAAAACCAGATTCGAAGAATCGCATACGATCTTCAGTAGGGGAATTGTTTGCGCACCGCTCGAACCTAATTAAATCAGCACCCATTCGGAAATATGACTTTTAATCCGGCTCATATTCAATAACACTGATTCTTGAATTCTGGTGAAGGTTTGACATCGCTGCGAGCATCGCTGTCTCTTTTCGTTTTGGACTTAGACGAGAAACAGACGGACGGACGGACAAAACCTCGGACAAACCCGAGGACAAACCCATGGCATAAGGGCAATTTTTGTCTTTCGAAAAATTCCTCTAAAAAGCAGAGACACTTTTGGCGGTTGGATTAACACTGAGGTGAGGTGGCCTTTATTTTTGAGTGGGCGAGGTTTCAGCCCATTTTTAAATTTAATAAGTGGCGATTTTAGAGCCCCCTTTTGAGTGGCGCCCAGGGCACGTGTCCTGTCTGCCCCCCCTAGCTACACCTCTGGCTACATTTAACCTGTGTATGGATATCTCCCGATAAACTGAATAGCACAATTTTTAATCTCTGGCAATAAATAAATTAGTACACAACCATGAGTGACCACTTTTACATATTTTTTTAATGAGTACTGTCAACTTCACATGTTCAAAATCAAGCTTGCAAAAAGCATGATTTAAATGAAAAAATTGAAGATTTTTTAATTTTTTTTAAATTTATATATCGGGGGATCAAAGAAGGATTGACGTCAAGTTACTTTTGGAAGTTCAAGTAAAATATGTAAACAAAAATTCCAAAGGTGACTCGACAGCAACCTCTCATTTTTGATCGCATAGTATTTAGTATTTAATAATTGGAATTATTTAGCCCTTCCTAGTAATTTCCATGCTACTGATTTCTACGTCAAAATGTACAAAACTGTCAGTTTTTGAGGAAACAATCGATTTTGGTTTTTCGTCGATATACAGTAGACCTCGTAGTAGACCATTGACTGTCCAAATAAAACAACAGCATAATTCAATTCGGCCCCGAAATAAAGATATTTTTTCCCATACGAGAAATATTAGGCCACCCTGTACCTCACCGAGGCACGTGGCGCAGTGGATGCGCTCACCGATGCTATTCGGGAGGTTGTGGGTTCGAATCCCGCTGCCGACTGCTCTGTCTGGGGTTTTGTCAGGATGGTTTTCCTCAGACATACGTAGCTTCGCATAATGCTAGCATTATGTTGAAATCTACGAGGCGAATGCTGGAGCAGTACTCTCCCCCTCAGCACCGTAACTCCGTTCCTTCCGTTCCCATCCCTAACTTTACCCATCCTTACAATCCCGTTCTCTGGCTGAAGAGGGCCAGGAAGCCCTGAGCAGCCCGCCTCCGGTATCCCTGTAGTCAGGGGTGCCGGTGGAATGAAACACGTTGGCCTTTTTCCTTTCCTGTACCTCTCCCATTACCTCACCATCAAAGGAATTCTGCTCTTAAACATGTACACCTTCTCGTTATAATTATCTCAAGGCCATAAGACAGCATTTATTATTACCCAAAAACCTACATAAATAGGTACCATCCTTCTTTATGTTATGCTTGATGAAAAAAACTCTTCGAGGAAGTTATCTCAATGTTGGGAGTTTTTCGCGCTTGGGGGGTGTCGACTGACCAATTTGAAATTAAATTTTGTTCTCCCAAGCATGTAATTGTATTAAAATACCTATAGCCAGAAAACACACGAGAATTAACGTGAAACCACTCCGCTTAAATGACAATTTAATAGCCCCCCAAACATAAATGGACAATTACTGCAAATCTGATAATTAAATTCGTCTACCTCTGCATTGCCGTATTTGAAAATTCTTCTATGTTTATCAAACATTCAAAAGTTGGGAGAAAATGCTGTGATCATATTCATGAATGAAACCGCCCTTTTTGTTTGTGCAATACACAGATAACAGCAGGGTTTCGTACAGCATTAAAACTGGCAAACTTTGAATAAAAATTTGCCATTTTAATTTTCCTGATGTTCACCTAGCTCCGCCAAAGTAAGGGTGGGTCTGCCAAGACACGACCACTTGCCACCCTGTCTATGCACTCTACTAATTAATTTGGTGTGGAAACAACCAAACGTAATTAAAAGCAACATCTTAATAATATTAGAAATCATAATAGCAAGCACATTCTAATAGTATAACAGAATGTCAATACAACCCCCGGAAAGGGGTTGCAGCTCGCCTGGAAATACCAGGATTACTCACCGGGGGATCCGAAACTGTGCTGTACCATTGTTGAAGCGTTTACGATGCACTTTTGGACATACTTTCATACAGAAAAATGGTTAAAACTTTATTTAAAATCCGAACATAATTGTTACTCATACGGCACGCGATTAATAAACGACTTACACCGCCTACATACACACAACAACTGCCTGCAATTTATTCCATACAACACACAGAAGCGGAAAGTGAAAGTATTTCGATAAGTACGAACTCGGTAGCCTTCGTCTTGCCACGATGATGTACGAAACGCATAAAATCAGTAATTCTCAACAGTTTGTAGCGAGAGCTATCCGAAAGTTTTCGAAAAATACCCAGTTTGATCCGTACAGTCTAGTTTTACATGTGGAATTGTTAATGCTGAACCACAGGTCTGCATCATGCAGCCTCTGCTTTTTCAAAATATCCTACGGTCAAAACTGCAGCGCAACCCAAAAATCATTTATCTATGCATCTGTTTCTTTACGAGGATCTTACATTATAGGGTTTTATGGAATAAAATAATGGAATTGATGCCGTATGTTTAAAGAAAGGAATCCTTCACTTAAGGGGCGATACAAATCACAACCTAAATGAACGTAGTAATATTAATACCTATGTCTGAAAATATAGAAAATTCGCAATTAAGAAAGGTTTTAAAGTATGCTAGCCGCGCACTGTGATGATTTTTTGTCGCACGAATGTTTGGTCGCAAAATAAAGCGGGGGTAGGTACGCACATGCGGCGGAAAAAAAGCAGCGACTTAAAAGAATGTCCATGAACCTAGCAGAGCAAGGTCAGCAGAACACATACTGCATAATTAGGTTGTACTGCCTGCGCGATTAAAAAGTTGCAAGTGCGCGCAGATTCAAAATTGTCTATATGGTATGCGACAATCGCGCCGTTATAAAAATAGAACAGGTTGCATCTTTTAAGATGTCCATGAACCTAGCAGAGCAAGATCAGCAGAACACAATCAAACATATTGCATAATTAGGTGCTAATTAAGTGCCCTATTCTTGAATTAACTGCACCTTTTTTTTAAATTATTATTAACTTTAATTAGGTGCTAATTAAGTTCCCTATCCCCGAATTAAATGCTTAAATTTTAAATTATTACATGTTTTGTCAGGTTCATATGAACACTCAGCAGAGCACTACCTTAAAAACCTAAGAAAATGAAAAGTGAACTAACTAATAATTAGGTTTTATCTTAATTATCAAGTATCAACGAACAATTTTTGTAATTTTTTGCGTTTAAAGCAAAAATTAGCACATTTTAATACACCAAATCACGAACACTTAAAGACGTATTTGTTTTTGTAAACACAGTGCCTGACTGCTTATAAATCATGTAAATAGTAGAAGTAAAAATTTAAAAAAAGGAAGAGCACAGAATTTGAAAACAGGCCACTTAATTAGCACCTAATTATTAGTTAGTTCACTTTTCATTTTCTTGGGTTTTTAAGGTAGTGCTCTGCTGAGTTCATATGAACCTGACAGAACATGTAATAATTAAAAAAAAAAAGGGCCATTTAATTCGGGGATAGGGCACTTAATTAGCACCTAATTATAGTTAGTTCACTTTCCATTTTCTTGGTTTTTTGAGGTAGTGTTCTGCTGAGTTCATATGAACCTGGCAGAATATGTAATAATTTAAAAAAAAAGGAGCATTTAATTCGGGGATAAGGCACTTAATTAGCACCTAATTATAGTTTGTTCACTTTTCATTTTCTTAGTTTTTTGAGGTAGTGTTTTGCTGAGTTCATATGAACCTGGCAGAACATGTAATAATTTTTTTAAAAAAGGAGCATGTAATTCGGGATAGGGCACTTAATTAGCACCTAATTATGCAATATGTTTGATCGTGTTCTGCTGATCATCATTCATGGACATCTTAAAAGATGCAACCTGTTCTATTTTTATAACGGCGTGATTGTCACATACTTACCATATGGACAATTTTGAATCTGCGCGCACTTGCAACTTTTTAATCGCGCAGGCAGTACAAGGTGAATTGCGTGTGCATCTGTTTTTCTGGTCACTTCCTCTATCTAGTGTTTTGATATGTTATTTTTTGGTCCGTAGCCAGATTCCAGATTGATTACTGAGAGAGGGCCAATAAATCTACAGAGCGACCGGGCGAAATAATAATTTGCCATATCTCGCGACAAATACCACCCTCTATACAAATTCGTTTTTCTTTCTTTCATTCGCAGCGGTCTAACACTGCAACTGTTGCATATATAGCTCGCACTTTTTAAAGGGCTTCCTTTTAATCATATACAATTTTGAAAACATTTTCAACTCAATGTTGAAAACCAAACTGCCCTACAGTCTTTTGTTTTTGAGTTGAGCAAAAAAGTTACGTTTTTCGATTTTTATTTTTTTTTACCAAAGTTGCCGGACTTACCTAATTTTTTAAATGGATTCAATTCAAAAAGATTAATAAGTTTTTCAAGGAATTTAAAACATTCTAAAATTTTGTAAAATTTTTTGAATAATTTAAACATTTTTAATCTTTAAAAATATACTTTTAATTTTTCTAATCTTTCTTGGATTTTTTTGAATCACTTGAATCTTGTTTATTATGATCGCTATTCGCTAGAGAGCTATAGTTCTGAAAAGAGAATTTTAATTCTGTTTAGATTAAAATAGACAGGATGTTCCATTTAAAAAAGGAACTTATTTTGAAAACGGTAGATAATGCAATAACCATTTGTAATAAACGCATTTCCAATAACTTAATAACCAAAGAAATTATAGGCTTTTATATATACTTTTTAGCGAGAACCGAGAAGCAGCAACGCAGTGTTTCATGTCAAATCGCTTGCGGGCGATGACAGATCGAACGGAAATTAGTCTTACTTTTTTGTCATCAGGAATTCAGAGAACCAATTATCTCAATTTCCAAAATTTTCACAATTACCATACTTTCTTCGCTTACGTGTTGAAAATAAATTAAAGGGAGGAGACATGATGTTGATTTTGTAAAGGGGGTCCAAAGTAGCCATTGTATGCAAAATAAGAATATCATTTAAATATCTAACATTTTATGTGTTTTCATTTTTGTAGTTTGAATAAATATACACTAAAATAATATTTAAAATAAACAAATACAAAATGTTTATTTAGACTTCATAACATTTATATGGTTTGATCAAATTCCATTTTAAAAGTAACAATTAACTGAACTTATGCAACTGTTCATCCAACTTAACCTTGGCTTAATAGAAATAATTATTCTGTAAGTATGTACATAAAATAGGAAGACAATCAAACCTAATTGCCCGTATAGAATTCTATTTTTTATAAACTTGTAATCTTGGAGCAGATAGTTTAACCTTCCCAGGTAAGTTTCGCGCGAGTTGTTCATCTTTAACTGCTTTGAGTAAATCCTTTTCTCTTTGGGATGCCGCACGATCTTTGAGGAACATATTGACTGCTGTACGTGCAGCTTTACCTCGCCTTCCAGTTCCTGGTGTTAACTTCACTTTGAATCTACAATCATTATGGTGTAGCTCAAATCTCAATTACCAATACTAACTTGTAGTTATTAAGAGCATTGTATGGAGCAATGATTGGTACAGCAAACAGAAGTTCATCTTCTACGAACGGTTGACCTGTTAAAGTGTTGATCATATCGATTTCTACTTGTGCGCCGGATTCTTCTTCGTCACCCTCCTCGACATTTTCAGATTTTGGGGCAGTCACCTTGGGTACACGTGGAATTTTCGTGTTCTTAATGGGAATGGCCTCTTTCGACTTCTTTCCCTTTTTGGTATCTTTACCAGAACCTGCCGACTGTCAAGGCACTAATGGAACTGATACCGAAGTACTTTAATCCTACCTGTAGTATCTCCATCCTCAGCTTCCGTTCTTCGTCATCTTGATCCTTATACTTCTCCTTAATTTTTTTTAACTTGCTTTTTTGACCTCGCTTTATTGGCGCGAATTTAACATTTTCATCGTTTTGCTCTAAAATTGATGAGAAAATGATGCCCACACGAAAAATAAATACCTTTTTCAACAATTTCTTCATTGTCCCTCGTTTTTTTTGTGGGTCTTGATTTCTTTGGTTGTGTCTTTGTATTCAATTTCGCTGGCTTTTCAATTTCCAACTGAGTATTGGGGTCAACCTTTATATGCACAGGTTCTGCTATAATGTTGATTCTAAAATTTGACACATAGAACTCACAATTTCCCTATAAAGAAGATGAAGAAGTACTTAGTTCCCTCCGAATGTTCTATTTTGATGTGTGTATCGGGAAATTTAGAAACACTACTTTCAGAATCAGAGCTGTCCTGGTTAATTCTATTTTCTTCTTCCACACTTTCAATTCTATCACTTTCAGCTATCTTTTCATCCTCTAAAAAAAATTGAATCTTTTGATCCATTAACGCTTGGTCCTTACCATCACTTTCGTCAATTATTTCTAATTCCACCTCATCTTTACTTTGCTCACTATCTGCTATACTGACTGTGTCATCCCCGCCTAAAGCAGGTTTTCGTTCTCCTATATGCTTCTCTATATGACTATCTTCGACACGGAACAAAAAACTGAGGCCCAAAATCAGATGTGAGGGGGGTAGAAAGTTTTTTTTGTCGCGTATCATAAAACTGCCGGTTGTTAAATACTCACCGGTCGGTGCAGTTTTACTTACTTGCTCACCATACACCCAATAAGCATTTGTTATTACTTTCGCTTCCCATGCAACACTGTAAATAAAAATCCTACTAAAAATCTCGTCTTTGAGAAAGTACGGCTAGTAACGAAATGATTCACTAAGGGCAAAGGGAAATTGTAGACTAATACAAGACCTTTATTTAGTGGATGACAAAAAAGAAATGCGATTTTAGGGTGAAGTTTCTATAACGACAAGCATATTCCATCCCAATGACTTAATCTTACCTGTAACAAATAGCCATAATTCCTGCTTCATTTAATGTTTTTGGGGGAACAGGTAATCCAGACGGATTTTTTATTACAATACTACTCGCACCGTGAATATCTGCGTGAACATAAACATCCTTAGGTTTCATGTACCTAAAATGAACCATTAAGGCTTCTCGTAACGTGTATAGCCAATACCTTTTAACAATTAATTCATTCTGCTGCTGATCGCGACCCCCAATAACCAAGTAGTTCTCTGAGCTAATGAACCAAAAAAACTTCTCGAACCAGTATACCTTGCGCGCCTTATGAATATTAGTAATGGTCTTCACCTACAAAACCACAACCGTTGTCAAACAAGACAAAAAATAAATGTTAACCTCTTTCAAAGTTTCCTTAGCTTTCTTCTCTGCAGATTTAAGCGCCTTTCCTTGCGACTCCAAGGTTTTCTGCTGTTTCTTGGCCGCAAAACGTTTCTTATCATAATAACTACAAATTACAGGTTACTAACAGGTAAGCTATTCCACCATAACTCACTTTCTAGCGTTGGCGAAAGCAGATAAAGCTAAATCAATATCAATAATTGCAGATGGCAGGCCTTCAATCTCTCCGCCACTTTCATCATTATACGGATCAGTAAGATATAAACTGATATGATTAGTATCCAACTTTAAATGTTTAATATGCTTAGCCACAGGATCGCCCTTCGCCGTAGCGTCCTTCACAAGATTCTCAATATCCATCCAGGAAATCTACAGGGGAATATAGGTCTAAGCAATTGATATTTACATGGAGAAAAACCACTTCATGGACTGTATCCATACCTTGATATTCTCAAATTCTGATACTTATGACTCTGAACACATACTGTATAAGGATATTACATATGTAACATAATACATAATATTAATTTAAATCTTGGTAGGTACAGTTATATGCCATTTACAATGTACTCAAGAAAATTCTTCACCAAGTAGTGTAGTACCTATAAGTTTCGTTTTTGCACTGGATTATTTGGTTCTTTTGTAGGATCAGTATAGGAAAAAGGAACGATAAAAAATTTGAGGTGGCTAACACAGATACCATCCACACACCTGGGCATTCGCGATTCTGCCCTTTTATGTCTAAGAATATGTGTACCAAATTTGGCTCGAATCAGTTCAGGCGTTTAGTCAGAAACGAGAGTACAATCAGACAGACAGACCAATTGACATTAAAACAACTACTGAATAGTGTAACCCTTCAATCCATTTTCTAGCATTTGAACATTATATCAAATAAGCCTCCTTAATTATGGAAAAATATTAATGCTTGAAAGTGTTCAATCAAACAGTAAGAACTCTTAGGTTACACGATTATTTTTAGTTGAAAAACAAAAATTTTTATTTTTATCAAAAACTACCAATTTTAGATATCTAATGTATTGCTCTGTAAACAATGTCTATATTGGATGTTGATGTTTTGGTCCAGATACCTGAAGTAATGATGGGTGGTTAATTATTAATAAAATTTTCGGTTCATTTCGTTTAATTAGTCTGTTTGGGTTTTACGTGTAAACATAAAACGATTATTGCATTTCTAGCTTGTATCAAAGTGGTTTGTATATTTTGTTTCGTTGTAAAGAGATTATTTCCTAAGTGTTAAAACATGGGGAAAGTTATCTCTTAATTATGCTTGATTCAGTCACTTATGTGACAGTTCAGATTTAATTTATGGGCAATTTAATTATTTTTATAAAAGGTTGATTTAATTATCTAGCGATAAGAGTGCACTTATTCTTATTTATATGTGATAACCCGTGCGACGCGATAGGGTCAGTACAAATTCGGCTCTAATTCCTTTCTCGGCGTTACTCAGCAGGTACATTTCTACACGGTCTGCAAATTTGAAGGTAATAGACCAACGCTTTTCGTTAACCACGTTTTTTCGGCAATCGGCCACAAAAGTCAACAAACAGATAGTGAAAGATAAATCAAATAATAACAACAATTCAAGTACACACGGAAGAGGAATTTAGGGGAGAGGAGGTTAGATTCTAGCTCGAGTATTCTTCGGGTGGATGACCCCTCGATTATTCCACATTTTGTATTTTTGCTTGTTGTAATTAACAAGGCAAGCACTGACTTACCATTCATAACACTCAATCTGGACAACCTGTATAGTACATACTTTGAGGCAATCTCGGAGGCAATGTATACATTTTTTATCTATGGACTGAAGTAAGGCATTCTACAACCATCACTATATCAACCTCGATATCAACTATGATATGGTTTCTCATAATTCGTGAATTAGAACTACATTTTTACTGTAAAGGTATGACTTGCTTTAGTAATGACCTTAGTAATGACTTACTAGAACCGAATATGGAAATAATTCGGAATAAAAGTTTAGCATTGACTTAAATAAATTATGTTGTACACAATCGGTTTCACCCTTTGGTATTTACAACTTACTTGACTGGCCAATGCGCTTTGTATTGCCAAAATCGCATTGTCCACTAACTCCTGGTTTCGTGTGATCAACTCCGCTTTCTGCTTATCAGTCTCCTGAGCCTTCTCAAGCTCTGTCAAACGATGATCGTGATCCTTTTTAATGTTATCCAGCTTCTTTAGTGCCTCCTTTTCTTGTTGCAGGCCCCGTAATTCGATCTTCTGGCTTTCGAATGTGGAATAAAACTCGTCCACTGCTAAATTAAAAGTGTCAAACTCCTGGTAAGGTTCTGATATGTGCTGAGAATAAAGCATCGGATGGAATTCCTGATTTGAGTACAAATATTCTTTGGGAGCATTTGGATCGGTGGTAGGCTTTTCTTCTCGTTTTTGAATTAAAAAACCCTAAAAGTCCACACAATTATTTTACGAAATGCTACTCGCAGAATATTTCCCACCTTACAATTTTGTGTTTTAGCAACTTCTACAATTTGTTTAGCTTCTTCGATTGCTGAAAACAATCTTTCAATGTCTGTATTAATCTCAAATGATTTTCCAAGTTTTGTAGAGTTTGCGAAACCACTTTTCAATAAAACGTGTTCAATTAACGAAGGTCCGTAATCTAAGTTCATCATAAGCACCTTCTTGATGGGATCGCCTACTTTTCCCTTATCTAACACCAGCCGTAAGTCGTCAACATTACTAATGTTGCTCTCTCGCCCTCGATTCTCAGGGTACTTCTCACGAACCGCAAACTTTACTTTATCACCTTCCGTATGCGGCCTAAGTACGTTTAATATTGTCATCTCATAGTCTGTCAGCAAAATATTTCCGCGATCGTACAACTCTAAGATAACATGATATGCCGCTTCACCTGTACCGAATTGCAAAATAACAATCCTGTCTAAACCGATCTGAGTTAACTTCTCCAGTCGCTTGTTTTTTAAATGTTTTCGCAGCTAAAATACCTTCATTGAATACAAAGTGAGAGAACATAAACTAACCTTCATACTAAAACCGGACGGTGCAATGTTTTTCGGCCATTCGAAATTGGTTGTGTGAATTCGATTACCGGATTCCAATAGCAGAACACTTTTCTCTTCGGTTCGTTGTAGTTTTATTAAATAAGTCTTATTATCAATATCGTAGATGTTATTCACTCGCATTCCGATAAGTCTAAAAAACAGTACAGTTTATATCAGGTTAACTGCAAGGTTTGTACTCACTTTTGCAATTCTGTTACGCTGCACAAAATATCAAATGAATTAAATCGTGTCTTCATTTTTGAGTATATTATAAGAACAGTAAATTAAGCAGTAATAGATAAAATAATTAAAATATCCAGTTTCTTTTGAGCATAACCTTACAAATCGCTGACACTGATGACAGAGAACGCAAATTTTGACAGATGGGTGCGAAAAGAAGGTTGTAGGAGATTGCAACACTGTAACATGGCGATTAGCATATACAGGGTCTTACACATAAGTATGTAAAAAAAATTGGGCGGTAGAGCACTTTTTCCAAATAAACTGAGGGTCCAACGTGTTTCGTTTGGAAGCCACCCTCAACAAGGTGATGACATTTTTACAATTTGAGATGTTTTATTTGTGAACAGTGGCGTACGTAGAAATTTATTCTGGGGGGGGGGGGGGATTAAACAAGTTCGTGGCACATACAGTCACCCAGTGCGTACTAGAAGGGTAGAAGGGAGCCGGCTACTACCGCGATACAAAAGTGCCGCAAAACGTCCGTAGTTTGGATTTGAAAATTAGGTGACTCTGCTTAGGTAGTATTTATGAGTTGGCAACTGTAAGTATAGGATAAAAGGCAACATATTCAGTGTCGCCTTAGGGAACCCCTATGATCAGCACAGCGCATTTTTGCAAATTTATTTGTAAAATATTCAAACGCGAATTGAGGGTGAATGGGACGTCGGAAATGGGTAATGACAAAGGGAATATGGGAAGCCTCAGACAAGGTGTTACTAATAGTACCGACAAAGGGAATAAGTATGGTAGACAAGATTTTACTCGCATGGTGGAGTCAAAACTGGGTAATAAGAGTACTGATCTGCCACACAAAAATGCGCTGAAGTCCTTTCGTTCTCATGCGAAGACTTTGATAATTCCTACATCAATAATTAGCATTCGTCTGGCGAAATGTAGAAATGCTAAATAAGATCACAGATATACGTAAATTGTGATAATATATAAAATTAAGGTTCTTGTAAAATTTCCTGTTGGGGTTGAATCGGTGCGTTCGAGTCTGATTTGGGATTTATATAATCAAAATGGTCTGGGAACTTCAACAGTGCCTGTATTTGGAATTCCTATATCCTACTTGATCTACATTGTCTCCGGGTCGTGCGCGCTTTTATCATGATTTATGGGACCCATCTAGCCCGATCAATATCAAGGTCATATACTGCGGCTATTGCAAGTAAATATCTTACATATATCTGACTATACTGGGGAATAAGTCTCCTTATAACCAATGTCGTTTCTTTTGACTGCAGCCCTTGATGACTAGGCTTGGCTTTATGTTTCACTATTTTCCCAGTTGTTAAAGGTTTCTTAATTGGTAAACCTGTCTATGAAAATTTTTCATTGGACGTATGTACTTTGATAGCGCAGCGATACATAAAAAAAGACCTTTTAATACCTATAATTTTAATGCAATCAACAGAATATAAAAAACATATGTCTACTTACAATATAATACTCATAATAATAAAAATATTAGTAAAAAACAATATACCTAGCTATATTTACATATTTGATCTAAAGGCGTTGAAAATATTAGTTAGTTCATCAAACAAGGTTTCATATCTAAATCCAACTCTAATATCAGGCACATTAGTTCTTGTGATATCGTTTCCTGCCACCCCCTCTTTGGTATAATTCGGTCCCAACCAATATTGCTTCATTTTGTGAGGGAAACCAGACATTAAAACGCTGTTCCGTGCCAATTCGCACATATCGCAGCTCGACAGTTTCCACACCTGAGCGGCGATGCTGTATTCCTCCATTAAAGGTTCCTTGGTGAAATGGAATTGTAGCGGATCGTCAGTTGATAGCGAAACGATTAATCCTCGCGCTAAATATTCAGGTAACGGATTGCGGTGGTAATTCAAAAATAGACTGTTATTAGATAATGGACTCATTGCAATTGCGATCTGAGCCAAGTAGTAGAGGTATTGTAGAACTGGGACTTTTCTTAGCAAAAGGCCGTGCGAGATGTTTTCCGAAAGCAAATATCCGCAGACCAAGTGTTGAATTGGCCCTGCTTCGCCGCAGTGAGGGCGTAAAACGAAAGTATTCAGACCGCGCTCTTTTCTAAAGTGATTTATCACGGCCATATTTGCGTACATATAATATAAGTAGTACGCGTACGGTGGATTCTCGATGTCAGTCCAATTCTCTGGTGTGGCCACATCTTTGTCAAATAATGGATTTTCGGGCTTACTTTCATCGTCAACAGAGTCAAAACCGACAACGTACTGCAAAAACTTGTGAAGTTCCGGATGCGACGACGGCCTCGCTGTCACTTCCAGGAGCGGAAGAAACAAGTTGTCCAAAATTTGTTGAAAGTTAGGGAGAAGATTATTTAATCTGAAGATGTCGTATAGTCTAGGAATTTGAATCAACCATCGAACATTATCCGAATAGACGTCCGAATCTATCGCCCATTTCGCTAATTTGTCCCATTCCTGTTGATTTTTGCCATAAATACTTATCCTTAGTTCTACATTTTGGTACTTTGATTCTTCTAAGTCACTGGCGATTTCCTTGATTATCATTGCGAAATATTTTCCGTCTATGTAATTGTCAGTTTTCAAAAATACCTCTCGCAGTCTACTCTCGCCGATGGGATTGTATTTTGCGTTAAACTTATCGAAGCGATGAAATGTGTTTCTGTCGGCGTGGACATCAAGCATGTCTACTGTTAAATCGTATGTTGTCAAATTCATAGACTGCAACAATTATGAATATATCAACATTTTTTATGTTAGTGACATATATCGCGTCGTACATGATTCACACCCAACACATGTAGCGTGTGAAGGTAACGGTAACGACGTGGTATACGCAAAGCATAACTTATTTTGATAAAATATGTTAAACAGGAAAATAAAAATCATAGGTACCTGAAAGACCTGGCTAAGAGTCATGGGCACGCCATTTGTGACGGTTACGACCTCATCCGCGTTTGTCTTCAACGTCTTCTTAATGAATCGTAGTAGGTGCTTTTGATTCATACACGATGCAGCATGAATATGGGTATCGACTTTTCTAAGATTGTAAAAATCTCGATGAGGAATAGCTTTCTGAGAGGCGAGTTCTCTGAGCTCGTTTAGTAAAACATGCAGTTGGTATTTAGAGGATAAATAGCTTAGACGACGATAACAAAATGATTTTCTACAAAAAAAGGTGTCAATACAAATTTTTGGAAATGTTTTCGCTTACAGTGGTCCATCCGCAATCATGTTGCACATATTGTTCATATCAGCTACGTAAGTGTTTAAGTTAGGATAAGGGAAATCACAGGGCTCATTTTTTTCTAAACAGGTCTGATTCAGGTAGACCTGAAAAACCCCTTCAGTCGCTTTGAAAATGTGACCTGTATCGGGCGGTAATCCAATTTCCCACGGATTTGCCCGACCAGGTGGATGTATACCATGTTCTAACAGGATCAATATATTTAAAGAACTGAAAAAATTGCGAAACCTAATTACCTTCAATACTTTGCCGTTCATCATGATGCTGCTCTTCTAATTTCGCATTCGCATCCGGATTTACTGAATGCAGGAAAGTGGCAGTAGTAGTCGGGAATGATTGGTAAGACAGTTTCATATATTTTTGCCTAATTTGTAGTGCTTCCACTAACAAACGTGATGCTTCTTCTAAATCTTCCAATGGTACCTAAAAGCAAACCTGTTACAACATACCAAGAAGGGCAAAATGGTCACAAACAACACCAATTCCTTATGTTCATGCATTAAGGATTTAGCTAAAGCACACTGGCCGTTAAATGCATACACGTATACATGTCAAATCGAATTAGAGGACTGTGAACTATGGAACAGTGTATGCAATTTGTATTTGTGTACAGAGAGCAAAATGAGGAGGAAAGTCCTCGCCTGTTTTCAACAGCGTAGCATCTCAATCACCATAATTGCTCTAATTCTCATCATGGATCTGAAAAGTTACGTCAAACACGCGGTACGAACTGCTAATGAAATCGAGATCGATATAAAGTAAGAAAGAGACGATAAAACAATAAGTTTGGTATCAGTCTATCACACTTCTTTTAGTGTAGTCTCATGGTGTTCTTACGGAAGTCACGGTCACGCGCATTATATTAAAAACGAAGAAATCCTCCTAAACGGCTGAACGGATTTTGATAAAATTTGTTGTATCTCTGTGTGTCACCGGACGGTTTAGATTCACAATTGAGCGTACGATGTTGCTGTGAAAATCTAGTATCTCTATATTAAACTGTTTAGGAATAATAAGCATTTAAGTACGACCATGGTTTTCAGCGATTCAGCTTCTATAATGCAGTATTATTTGCACAACAAAGTTGCACACGCATTGAATATTCTTAGGGGCGAATTCCAAGGTTTCGAATTTTCTAAAGGCAGTTATTGCAAGGCGGAACTTTGTTGGTGCGACTTTTCGGGGTTTTACAGGTTAAATTTACTGCAAAGGAAAAAAGAAACAGGAGTTTCCTTTTGGTTCCATTAGCCCCAAATATTTGTACCAGGTATCGTCTCCTCTCGAGAATTCGCCACGAAAATTCGACCAACCAACCTCCTCCAAGAGCCAATATTCGGAAGACTAGTAGTAGTGGACCAATATTTATTGACGCCAATTGATATTGAGCTTTCTATGGTGCCAATATATAGGCTTCGAATTTTCCAAAGGTTTTTTCCTTAAGGCGGGTAACTATAGCGCATTTTCCATGAATTGATCAGTACTTCCCGAAAGGTTACGATCTATTTATGTGTACAAAGAAAAATAAGTTATGGCATAAATATTCTTATAAATAAAAAACTTGCGCATTTCTGAACTTTAAAATATGCGATGTTTGCCTTTACTGGAAGAATCTTTGGTTAAAATTTCAAAAAGATGACATTGTGCAGTTGGGTTTCCTTTTCGTTCCATTCACCCTAAACATTGTCTCCAAATATAGTCTGCTAGAGAGGGAAGGGTTACCAACACCTTCTTGCCAAAATCACGATCGCGGGCACTTATTTAATTATTTATTTATTATAGAATTGTAGAGGACAAGATTTCCTACAAAAAATTCGCGAGGGCATATGCCCATCTTAAACCGTTTTTGAATACTAAACATTTTGTATAATTTATCTTCTATAAATTTTTCGTATCTATTTCGACTTGCCTTGCCTTTTGAAATTAAAGCGCGCGATCGTTATTTTCTTAAGAAAACTCTATAAGACTCCATTAGCGAAAGTGTGATGTGTGATAGAGTGAACCAAGTTCGCCGTCTCTTTCGACCACGAAATTACTTCACAATTGAAGGAGTGGCTATCTACCTATCACTGTGGTTTGTATTGAAATTCAAGCGCCAACGTCCCCAGCGAATATTAGCTGTGGCATTGCCTAATAACGTTTTTATTCCAACTGTATAAAGTGGTACTTAATTCCCGTATAAAATAGTGATCTACATAAGCAACATATCTTTTTTAAACTTTAAAAAATTGTATGTAATGCCTGTCTGGTACTACTTATAAGTATGACGTTTTGTTTGGGCACTGGTTAGTGTAATAATTATTGTAAAGTACTTGCGATTAATAAATTTAATGTTAACATAACGTAAAAATAACGAGCAACAAAATTCTAGTTCTGGAGGCCCCCATAAAGTTCTCCATAAATTTTAAATACATGCATCAGCTTCAAAAGTGAACTTTTTTTGATTTTTTAATAGATCTAGATAATAAAAGTTCTAAAGTTGCTAATAAGTCTATAATACGTCCTCGAAATATTAACGCCAAAAAACTCGTCGGATGTTCTGAAATAAAAACTTTCAATATTGCTATAGTTTACTAAATACAGGGTCACTGGCAACGGTCGATTATCGAGGAAAATATACAAGATATATAAAAAATGTTATTTAAAAGTTTTGGGGTTCTTCAATGTCTACTAGGCGGTAATAATTTTATTTATACATAATACAGGGTTGGTCATAAAGGCGCGGCACACCAAAATTGAATTTTTTTAATGGCAAACCCTGCATACTGTTCTCAACTGTTTTTCTTATGGAAAGGATTACGAAATCGCGTGAAATATTAAATATCATAAGCCGTTAATTTTTGTCGTTGGGGTTGTATTTAAGTGTTTGGTATTTTTCGTAGAATTGCAGTTCCGTATAAAATGCCGGGTTGTCCTTTAAAGAAACTGAACTTTTTTATAATGACACATTTAATACTAAAATATAATATGACAATCGCATACGATTTTCAAAAGGAGATGTAATCTTATCCGCAACCATTACGGAATTAGCATGTGGAAAGAGTAGTAAGATAGATAATAAGAAAATCACCACGCAGTAGATCGTTAACGCATCGCTCGTGCCTAATTAAATTAGGTCAAATTCGGAAACACGACTTTTAATCCGTCTCATATTCCACTAGCACTGATCCTTGACCTCGTAGAAATCGATTGGCGAAGGATTTGACATCGCTGTCTCTTTTGGTTGACGAGTTAGAGGTTAGACGAAGAACAGACAGATGGACGAACAAAACCATATCATATATAATACTACATTATATGGCACTATCTATAAGAAAGGCGGATGTGACGTAATCTTTCCGAGAAATATGACGTGCTTGTTCGAGAACATTCTAGCATAGTCGGAAGCGTTCGAGATTTGCTATATCAAATCGAATTGCATTTCAATTAGTTCTACTTTCAACTCCGAAGTAAAAAATAGTTCGTGATGTTATAAATCAATTCGTTGTACAACTTGCCAGTTTTTAATGGTACAGAACGTCTCCTGACTACCATGCTTCGGAGAATAAATTGAATTGAAATATTTATTAAGAACTCTAGGACTTTATGGGGGGCCTCCACAACTCTAATTACAATTGCAAAATTTTATAAATAATATACTTTCGAAAGAATAGAGATAACCCGGTACACCTGTTGTTTACGTTAATAAATGAAGTAACTTCGCAAATGTCAAGGTAAAACACCGCCTCAACTTGATTCATGAAATAGCAATTATAGATTACTACAGTTTCATATTAATTATCTTATTTTTTTATTTTTATATCTACCGTTAAAAATAACAAAATAAATGTACAACTTTAAATTTTAACAGTAACTATTCTAGTAACCTACAAACATCTGAATTGAATCCAGCACTTTCTTAATCTTGTTATTATTTTCATCATTGGATAATAATATATTTCCACACTATTCATTCAAATAATAAGTGACGAATGTTGTTACAGTAAATATGTCTAGAAAATTGCTTTAAACTTTAAACTTTAAACCCGTTAGGAATCTTGAAAAACCTCTAATAAATTTACATGCAAAACCCTTCCCTATAGTAAAAAATTGGGTGAATTTTGGTATTTGTATCTATAAATAAAATCGCCCGGAAGAAATGTGGACAAACGAATTAAACACTTAGGAAGTGGTTTGATTAATATGTAAATTTAATTATAAACATGTTTATGTTTCTGTTTACTTCTGTAGGTAAGTTCTGTGAGATTCTACTCTACGAAAAAAATAAGTTTTAATTATACTTTTAAATATCAGCCCCAACTACAACATGCAAATTCCACTGAATATACCACCTTATAGTATCCAGTGAAGGTCTATACGTGAAACAATAAAGAAAAATAAATAATTAGAATTGCATTTAGCTCCTAATCAATACACAAATATCACTCCACGGCCTTCTCACGTGTTTGGACGTGATGGAGGATTATTCTTAACTTTTGAGGTTTCAATTCGAGTGTTTCTACTACCGCAATGCGTTAGAACTTCGTGCGAAACTTACCCCGCTTGTATCCTCCCCAGATATCGATACTCTCTGGAAATGAGGAACCAAATCATGCTCGTCCAAATAAAGGGACGGTCCCTCTCGTTCGTCAATTGGTCCCGAAGTTACCGAAGGCTCATAGTGACTCCGTTTGTCTTCCAACACTCTGAAATTTTCCAACGATTAGTGGGTAATCTTGCAGGAAATTTTAAATAACCTAAAAGGCGACGTAATGCGTGGCTGAAATATTGGTAGGTCGGAAGCAAGACCAAACATATCGTCAATTAATATTTATGGCTGTCCCTCGCACCTATTCAATTGCGAGGGTCATCGTCAACTAATCTATTATGTGACACTATTTCCCGTAAATTATTTGCTTTCCCACCCCTTCGCATTGTAGTGCTAGAAATTTGCCTTGTTGTTTTCCAACGCGTTTTTCTTACCATTAGTGGAACATAGAAGGGTGGGCAGGTAAAAAGCTCAGTTTAATGAGCAATTACGCGCGCGGACCAAAGTTGGAAATTACAATCCCTAATCGATAGTACATTACAATAGGAGAAATTAGTATGGGTAGGTAGGGACGTGTTGGTCACGTCATTTTTCAAGATGAATACAAGTAAAATAGTACCTAATTGTTTTCGTCCGCGTCCTTCGTTTAGATTATTTTTGATAAAATGGCATTAAAGGCTAAGGGGGGTATATTTCCTGTTTGAATTTGAGGGTTTTTAGAGTAAGTCTGCACTTTGGTCATTAATCTTTTGATTTTTCATTGGGGAAAAGGTTTTTTTCCACCTAAGGAGTTTCATCGTATTTTCGGCAAGATACCAGGCGAGATTTTAAGGATATGTGTACTACCAATATGGAAGACAGCCTAGGAGAATCAATTTACACTGTTATGTAAGGCGGCCATGTGTAACCCAAGGATTTAGCGATGATTAAGAAACACACGAAGGCTTAGAATTGATAAACAAAATGATTGTCAATCATATCGTCATTCTGGTTCCCCCTCGATACCCACGAAACGGTTTTGCGCGATTTTCAGTATCTTCTTTAGTTTGGAAAATATGGCCCACTGCAAGTTTTAAAATTGACACCCTGTATAAACGTTCACTCTTTACTTAGTCTTTGTGGATTACCTTGAGATTATTTCTTTTCTATCTAGGCACCGATAATTTGAATATCTGCGAGGGCATGACAATTGGACTCCTGGAGATAATGCTATAAGTGTAAATTAGATACCGAGTAGCTACATCGTAACAATTTGAAAGGATTTTAAAAAGGGAGACTGTTCATCTTATCACTGCCATCTGTTCGACATTCGTCACTGCGCGTGATATCTTGCCGCCGTTTTGTGAAGAATTATTCTGTGTAATGATCTCCATCAATAAGAATCGCCTGGCCTGCTTGCAACCGAAATTAATTAACCAAACTTAGCACTGTGTCAATTGGTTATTCTGGGTTCTGAGCCATAGTTTTTCACATAATGGCCCGTATGAATAAAAGGAAGCAAATGCTTATACTTACAAAATTCAAAGTAAATACTCGTAACTGCCCCTTCATACTGGTCTATTTAGCATGGTTTAGCAGCGCTGCACTGCGTCCTGTCCTGCTGCTCAGCAGCGCTGCTAAATCGCCCAGTGTGAAGGAGCACTTACGAGTATTTACTTTGAATTTTGCAAGTATAAGCATTTGCTTCCTTTTATTCATATGGGCCATTATGTCAATTTTTCTCTAAAAATTTGGAGATGAATGGGCCCATTTAAAAATTCATATCTCTTACACCGTTCAAGATAAGCGAGTGCTCTTTTTCATAATCCAATCCTTAAAAGCTATGGAATTTGTTGAGTGACTGATGAAAGTCTTGAAAAAGTTTCCAGGGCTGCTGCGATTTTTCAAAATTAGCATTAAAAAAATGCGAAATTGCAACTACTATTTCTGATGCCAGAAATGAATGCAGATTAGAATTTTAAGGCCCTGAAGTTTTATACATTTTTTATTGTTAATTTTGAAAAATCGCAGCAATTCTACTTAGAGGTGTTTAGACACTAGGTAATTATATAAAATCCAAACCTACACCTAATCCTTAAATATCGTCAACAAGCTTTATACACATAGGCTTCATATTTTTGGTAATAATTTTCAAACTGACTCGTATTTCTGAGGTCCAATTTAGGGGTGATGGGGCTGATGTATAGACATCATTTCCGATCACCCGGTATACGATTTGAAAAAAGGTAAACCAATCTATTACTACTACAAATTCAATGCTACTACTATATGGAACAAACTAAATCAAACAAGAGATCATACTTTTCCTTACGGTTAGGAATTCTACCAATATTAAAAAGGTGTCTAGGTCAAAACAAAAACAAACCTCTAAAAACATAAACAACCGTAATGCATAAAACGTGTATGGCAATTTCAAGTACAAACAATCACTATGCATACCAATCTTATCTAATTATTGACAAATATAAAGAAGATGACAAATTAGAGCTGTGGAATTATACCTTGTGTTTATTGTCACTATCTTGCCAATTAATTTCACTACGATTTCGGATTTGTAATAATAATGATAAACTTGGCACAAGCGCGGCGACAACTAAAAGAAAATTGTTTAACATTGGAAAAAAACCGAAGTGCTCTGCTGTAAATCTAGGATTTGGCGATGAATTGTTTATAATACAAATTTAGATTTATAATTCATTGTACAAGGTGCTTTAAAAAACACGAGTGTTTTTAGTAGCCCTTTGACCTCTCAGCAAGAGACGACCAAACAAGCGGAGGACACATTGTATATTGTTTACTCGAAAGAACGCCTTTTTCAAAATTTTCCATGATGCTGATAGATGCTCTATCTATATAACGTATTTTGAAATAGTTAAAGGATGGATTGACTGATAAAAAGGTAATCACTCGACAGATAGCAACTAAAATTTGGGATTTGTTTTTAATTTTAGTTTACTATCACCATTGAATTGGATATTCAATGCTGTCACAAATACTGAATTTCCGAAATTTAGTTCCAAAAAATGTTTGTAATTTGGCAGGTTCCAATATATATTTTACTTGAAAGCGTTGGCAACTGATCTACGACTAAAACGATTTTCAATGAATTTTAAAAATATTTCACCTGATTCAGATGCTTGTCACTCCAAATTTTTGGCAAACGCTCACTAATCATATCATAGAAAAGCCGGAAGTGGTAACTATTTTTATACATATTTTGATTAGCCGCTGTTCGTATAATCCAATTAATGCAAAATTTCGATTATGTAGGTCATTAATAGTTAAAATTAGACTCATTTAAGTAATCTAAATAATGTTACGTTAACTACATCGTATTACCCTAACAGCTTGGTCCAATCGTAACAGTCAAATTCCAAACTTGCTACTTATCGAAAATAGTTTTCCTTTGTGTTATGTTAATATAAAAAAAAAATTATTCCACTAATGGTGATCGAAACACTATTTAAAACGCAAATGGAAATGGAACGTAAAAAAAATGGAAAACTCACGTATCGAATCCCGGTGGATATTTTGGAAAATTTTCGACGTCCGAACGACACTCAAGTAACATCATTACTGAACACTTTTTTCACCCACAACAGAACTTCTATAAATATTATTGTAAACCTAATTAATGTAAATACGCGTTAAAACTTACAAAAAATTAGCCAAACATTCTTTAATCGGTGCGTAATAACAACAATCAATACACGACTCACTTAATTGTGACCAAAGGATTAATACATAAAGATTATGGTAAGATTACTAAAAATAGTTGAGCAAATAATTACTTCCCCTCCTCCATTTTTTTCACTATTGTTGATATTTTGCAGTGGCGCAATAGCACGCCAGAATGTTATTACTATATTACATATTCAGTTTTTTCATGATGTTTTGAGTAAGAAAACGATTCTAGATGTAAATGTTTGGTTGCAAGACAAAATTTATAGGTTCCAAGTCCGATTTCATTTTTGGATCAGTTTAAGTATTTTTAGATTTTTTACAACGAAACATTTCGAGAGGTGATTGCATTTGGGGTTTTTGTACCGTAGATTCATGACCTTAGAAAACTAAAATAAATGAGGAACCATCAACACGAAATTAAGTTTGTGCACTCGAAATTGGCATCTTCACAAAGCTACGGATATTTTTAAGAGTAATTAGGTGTAAAAGCTTCGAAAAAATTTGTGTTCCGCTAATTTCTAGAAAGGTTTCTGTTAGCAGTACTCCAACGCAATGCATCTTTGTCTTTGTTCAAATTGTATCTAGATTTGAACTAAAAGTTGCAAAAGCCGTATTTGTTTTGACCTGGGGATGGTTCATAGTGTGTTATCTACTGCAGATATGAATAATCTTAGTGTTGAAATGAAAAACCTTTCATCATCATCAAATGATCATCAGCAAATCCATGCGGCCGCCCTTAAATTACCACGTGCTAAAAACTTAACGTGTTCTTGTACTTTGGACAATGAATCTATTTTCTCCATGAACAGACTGAAAAATTCAAATTCGAATTCGATAGACGTAAATCCCAATCATTTGGGCTGGATGAAATAAAGACTTGGAGATATTAAGTCACAGAAAAATTACAAGTTAAATCAATTATGATAAAAGAATAAATTTGAGCGACCCTCTTAACCTACCGCAATTTGTCATTTTATTTTGTAAAATAGCTAAAAAAACATATTAGGTAATTACTTTTTTTTGGAAAATTGCGAAAATGCGCAGTAATTTGTTATCAACCAGTGAATTTTTATTGCACAAACTGAAATTGTGCAACAGCATACTTATGTATTTACTCACTTTGTATAATAATAATAATAATAATATTTTTTTATTCCATGGACCGTGGTAGGTATAGGACATGTCAAATACACATAATTACTAACAGACAAATAATATCACAGTTAAGCATGTTCAAGGAACTCTTTGATATTGTAAAAACAGTGATTATTAAGGATCCTCAGATCCTTTATAGTTTTGTATTGTCGTCCGTCCGTCCGTCCGTCCGTCCGTCCGTCCGTCCGTCCGTGTCGCTCTAACTCTTTTTAAAAGTGGCCGATTGTGTTGAAATTTGGTATACGGGTACGTTGGACATTAAGAACGGACGCTATTGATTTTCAGGAAGCTGGTTCAACAGGAACAAAAGTTATACGACTTCGAGTGAATCGGGAACAGGAAAAACTGCGAACTCAATATAATAAAAATTAACATATTTCATTCCCTAGGTCATGTATCGAGTTCGGACTTTCGCTAGATTATTCCCTATGACTCTTAGATGTGTAACAATTCAATATAACTCTTCTCTGTGGTCTCGGTCAAAAGTTTTAGAGCAAAATGTACCCAAAATTATTCTTTACACATGAATTTAGAGTTGTAAAAGCTTTCAAACGCATTATCTTGATGCTGAAAGAGTTGATAACGTGCACGTTTGATAACCGCATGTGTGTGATTCAAAAATGTTAAATTATTTTTCTGATGCCACATGGATTTTGATCAAAATATGTCAAAATCGTTAATTATGCACCAAGATCGTTGGGAAAAAGACTACGCGCATTATCTCAATGCCCAAGACATGAATTTGATGCATTTTTGGCGACCACGTGGATTTTGATCAAAACATGTCAAAATCGTTATTTATGCACCAAGATCGTTGGGAAAAGACTAGGCGCATTATCTCAATGCCCAAGACATGAATTTGATGCATTTTTGGCGACCACGTGGATTTTGATCAAAACATGTCAAAATCGTTATTTATGCACCAAGAGCGTTGGGAAAAAGACTAAGCGCATTATCTCAATGCCCAAGACATGAATTTGATGAATTTTTGGCGAAAACGTGGATTTTGATCAAAACATGTCAAAATCGTTATTTATGCACCAAGATCGTTGGGAAAAAGATCAAGAGCATTATCTTAATGATCTAAACATGAATTTGATCTATTTTTATGGACCACATGGATTTTGATCAAAACATGTCAAAATCGTTATTTATGCACCAAGATCGTTGGGAAAAAAACCAAGAGCATTATCTCAAAGCCCAAGACATGAATTTGATGCATTTTTGTTAACTATAAAATGTATTTTGTAAGATTAAAATAAATTGTCGTTAAAAGTGATTGTAATACTGAGGATCCTTCGATATTTCGTTGTATCGGTTTATTTAAGTATAGAAGTAATATACTTTGTTTCAAGGGTGCTGAACCTTTCGTCACACTATCTGACGTCATAGCAAAATTAAGGCAGGTCGTAAATTAGTAGTTGGTTTACATATTGTCACATTGACGTTTCAACTTATTTATTAAGGTGTCACTATCGTTCATCATTATTAGACCGCCCAAGTTGACAATCACTTGTAAGGCATCTGGTTCTGATAGGTTTTTTTCCTGTTCTTAGGTTTTATAATGGCTAAATGGTCATGTATTTTATGTAGAGGAAGTCCGTTGGTATGAATTAAACCTTTTCAACCGTTTGTAA